CACACACACCTTTGGTGATTCATCAGAGGTAAGAGGCTCCCAGACTTTCCTACCTGGTCTGGCTTCAAACCTCAATCCTCAAATCTCAGCCTCCTGAACAGCTGGGATTACAGAGGTGAGCCACCAGCAACCAGCCTCTCCAGGGACTCTTGCTTGAGACGACCATTGTCTCTGGTCTGGTTCTTCCTCCCTAACCTGTCTGTGGCTTGTGACTCAGGTGAACACACCTTGGGGACAGAGCTGCTCCCTGGAGTTCTTGGCCACCCTCGCCCTGATCCTCTCCAGAAGAGCTTGTGTTGTGACCGTGGGTGGCATGCACCCGGCGTCCGTCCTTACCCTCAGTGTGTTTTTTTTCCGTAGGACACAGATATCCTCACTCATGCCCGCAGTGTGGCTGGCAGGATGCAGAACTTAATGTTGCTAGGTGACTTTAACAGATCCTGCTCATGCGTGGCTCATTCGTGCCCTAGCCACTTTTCCCTCAGTGCAGGAGCAGTGTAGGCTCTGGGTGCTACCTGGGAGATGTGGGTGTGGTGTGGGCTCTGGGCTTGGTCCTGCCCTTCTGACTTCTTGTGTCAGCAGAAAGACTTGGGACCACCTTACTCCTTTCTGAGTCTCGGTTTCCTCAGGCCTGAAGGGAGCATAATTAGTTTCCATTTTATGGAAAGCTGGGGGCTCAAAGCCCGATGCATGGTACATACTAAACACTTAGAAGATGTTAGATAGGGATGTCTTCCTGAGAACTTCTTACCTCATAGTCAAATGTCAAAAAACTGTACCTCTTGTTTTGCTGCAAGTGAGCTGCTTCTCCCAGTCTCTGGCTTATGTCAGTGTAATTCCAAGATAAGATTCTGTGTCTCTCCCCTCCTCCAGACTCCGCAGGCACATTCCAGCAAACTGGGTGTCCTTTCTCCTGCCCCCTTTCCTCCTGCACCGCAGCTAAGCATGCCCCTGCAGTGGGTCTGACCTGCACCGTGCAGGCAGCCAGCTGATTCTTCCTTAAATTTTCTTCCTAGTACCCACTGCGGTCCAGGTACCTGACAGACTCTCCTGACAGACTCTCCACAGACTAGGAGAAAGGCGGCAGAAGGCAGGCAGCAGACTACTGATGGTGGAGATCATGGAGGGCTTTGATGTGAAAACTTACTGTCAAGCCATTTTAGAATACAGAGGACACTGAGCAGGTGTGGTAGAGTATGCTTATCCCAGCTGAGTGAGGCATTGGCAGGCAGGTCTCCATCTTACCCAGGCCAAAAAGCAAGAGCTTTTTTAAAACAAACAAACAATTTAGTCGGGCAACGGTGGCTCACACTTGTAATTCTAGCTACTCAGGAGGCTGAGATCTGAGGATCTCGATTCAAAGCCAGCCTGGGCAGGAAAGACCGTGAAACTCCTATCTCCAATAAACCACTAGAAAACCGGAAGTGGCGCTGTGGCTCAAGTGGTAGAGCGCTTGCCTTGAGCCGAAGAGCTGAGGGACAGCGCCCAGGCCCAGAGTTCAAGCCCCATGATTGACAAAAAACAAACAAAAAAATCTATTTGGAGGCTGGTGCCATGGCTCAAGTAGTAGGGTGCCTGCCTAGCAAGTACAAGGTCCTGGATTCAAACTCCAGTACCACCAAGAGCAAAACAAATCCAGAGACTGTGTCCCTTGAATATCTCCCCTTCACACTGGGCAGATGTGCTCTGCTACTTTTCCAGAAGTTACTTTGTTCTGTGGTCCCAGAGTGGTTGGATGACAGCACCTGCTGTTGGTCTTGAGTCCTCCTCCTTCCCCCACCCCCCCAGCCCTGCCCTTTGCTATCCTTCCAGGAGTCCTGTCCACCTGTATTCTCTTCTTCAAGCCTATTTCACTTTTATAATTAATATACATGTGTACAGTGTATGGGTTTCATGGTGATATTTCTATACATGCACAGTTTGAACAAATTCACCTGTTTCAGAGTCCCTTATCTGTGGAATCAAGATCGGACCCCACTGTTCCTCTGCTTTTTTATTATCCCAGCTGCTTTCCTGCCTTAAATATGCCCCAGCTCATTCTCTCTGCTTCCAGCCTATGGTTTATCCTGCTTTTTCTCTCGCTCCCTCGCTCCTTCTCTCTTGCTCTCTCGCTCCCCCTCCCTCTCGCTGATACTAGCATTTGAACCCAGAGCATCATGCTTGCTAGGCAGGTGCTCTACCACTGGAGGCATGCCTCCAGCTGTTCTCTGTGCTTCGTGTTCTTATTCTGACTTTGAAGTTTTGTTCCAGGAAAATTTAGCCTGGTTTATTTTTTTATACTGGTACTGGGGCTTGAATTCAGGGCCTGGGCATTGTCTCTCGGTTTTTTTCTCTTAAGCCTGACACTGCACTTGAGCTACACCCCCATGTCCAGACTCTGAATTGTTAATTGGAGTGAAGAGTCTCATGGACTTTCTGGCCTAGGCTGGCTTTGACCCTAGTTCTCAGATCTCAGCCTCTTGAGTAGCTAGGATTACTGGTGTGAGCCACTTCTACCCAGTCTTTCTGTTTCAGGCCCTATCTTGTTTCTCTCAGGGGAAGGTCAGAATGATGCCTCTCTCACCTGCTTGCTACACTAGCCCAGAGGAGTTGCTTGGACTAGAGCTTGGTTCGAGTAATAGAGCACATTGCTAGAAAGCTCAAGGCTCTAAGTTCAGTCCCTGGGTATATAAGTATTCACACATACACACACAGCCTTACCTATTACTGAGATAAGCCGTATCTCCAGTCTTTGGGCTTGTGAAATCCAGGACTTTGATCCTCCAAGGATCACCTTGCTTTCTGAAAACCTGTAGACTCTTTTTTTCTAGAAGTTTCAGGGCTGGGCGCTTTAAGGATAGGGATGTCTCTGTGTGTGTGTGTGTGTGTGTGTGTGTGTGTGTTGCTTTTGGCCTTTGGCTTGGTTTTCTATTCTGGGCTTTTGCTGGCTCACCAGGGCCAGTGCTGGACTCTGGACCACTGAGCTGGGGTCCTGCTAGCCTGCCTGGCTGCGTGTCCCTTGAGCTTTTTCCTCTGTGACAGTTGTCCTCTGGGGGAGCCCCCATGGTTTATGGTTGGGCCTCCGGCAGGCATGCCCCCCCACCCCCCACCCCCGCTGTCTTTCTTGTTGGCTCCCACTTTCTGGACATTTTTCCAAGCTTTTTATCTTCCAGATCAGTTCTTGGGTTTCTCGCTTGCATTTTTTTTTTTTTAACTGTAAAAAGCTTGTTTTCCCTTCCTCTCTCCCTTATCCACCAATGTTTTGTGTTTTTTTTTTCTTTTTCTGGGCATAGTACTGGGACTTGAACTCAGTACTTGTGTGTGATAGGTATGAACCACTTGAGCCAGCTTTCTGAGCCACTTTTTTGTTTTATTTTTTCAGATAGGATCTTGAGTCTTTTGCTCTGGATCAACCTCAGAGATCTTCTTACTAATGCTTTCTGAATGTCTGTGGGTAGAGGCATGCTTTTCTTTCCTTTTGTTTTTTTATTTTTATTTTTTTTGCCAGTCCAGGGGCTTGAACTCAGGGCCTGGGAAGTGTCCCTGAGCTTCTTTTGCTCAAGGTTAGTGCTCTACCACTTGAGCCATAGCACCACTTGCAGCTTTTTCTGTGTATGTGGTACTGAGGAATGGAAGCCAGGGCTTCATGATGCTGGGCAAGCACTCTACCATTAAGCCACCTTCCCAGTTCTTCCTTTTATTTAAATCAGTGCTGGGGATCGATCCCAGAGCCTTGTATATGCTGGACAAGTGATCTACCATTGAGACGTATCCCCAACCCCAGATTCTTGCTTCACAGGGGTAAGACTGTTCATGATGGCTCTGTCAGCGGCCTCTGGGTGTCTGTTTCTCTTATCAGGCTGTTTCTTTCCATCCGGCCTGGCTGTGTGCTGTGTGCTGTGTGTGAGGGCGGGTTCTGGCTGGCCACTGGGAACATCCAGACCAGAGGATGGGGTTGCAGGTCAGCTCCCCTGGGTCCTGTCCCCTGGGAGGATGGTCACCAGGCCTGCCTGGTGACTACCTTTCCATCACCTGCTTCCCAGCATGCCTCACGCCGGCTGCCTTGTGGCTTCCTTTGGCGGGGCGCCGTGGGAGCAGGAGCTCCTGGAGGTTCAGCTGCTGTCTGACAAGGCTCCATTGTCCTTCCCTCAACCACTGCTCAGGGTACCTCAGGCTGCAAGGGGTGGGTCCCCGTCTGCCCAGTGTCTGCCTGTCTAGCTCCCATATTCTGACTGTCCTGCCCCCGTTCCTTTCTCTGTCCCTAGGCTAAGTATCTTAACCGCCTCTCACTTTAGTTAGTGGGGGGTTCCAGGAAGGGGCCCGGCCCAGCCACCATCCTTGCCCAGGGCCTGCCAGAGCCGTGGGTTCCAGGATGTCTCCATGCCCTAACCCCGCTGGAGGGACATGTGTGCGGGGTCCCCCGGGACCACCCTGATGCCGTATCGGGTGTGAAGGGGTGGGGTCTAGCCTTACCCATCTGTGCTGATTTCTCTGGCCTTCACCCCTGCTCACGCCCTGTCCTCTCCTGCCTTCACCCTTGCTTTGTGATCTGTAGCTCAGGGAGGCCATTGTCACTGCAGGGTCTAACCCGACACTCCTTCCTTCCCTGCCATGCAGGCGCCCCATGCCTGCTGCCGCCCCTTCTGTGTCCGTCTGTCCCCGTCCTCCCTTCCTGCTCCTGACGGCCCCATGGCTGTCATGGAACACCAGAGGGGAACGGCCTGTGGGGCCGGGCCGGGCGGGGTCCTGGGCCTGTGCCCTGGGGGCTCTGCCGCTGGCCGGCCGGGCTGTGGGAGTGGTAACAGCTGGTTCCCCCCAGGTCCTTCCTCAGATCCCCGTGAAGAGTGGAGGCCCCCATGGGGCTGGCGTCCTCGGTGAGTGGCGGGCCCCTCCCCCTCAGAGGACGGCAGGGAGGCGGGCAGGCCTGAGGGTCCAGGGCCAGCGCCGGGCGGGCGGTCGGGGGTGTCTGCTGAGCCGCCCTGTCCCCTTCAGCAGGGGTGCACCTGGAGGGCCCCTTCATCAGCCGGGAGAAGCGAGGGGCACACCCCGAGGCCCACCTCCGCTCGTTTGAGGCGAATGCTTTCCACGATGTCCTGGCCACCTACGGGCCCCTGGACAATGTCCGAATCGTGACGCTGGCCCCGGAGCTGGGCCGCAGCCATGAGGTCATCCAGGCCCTCACCGCCCGGGGCATCTGCGTGTCCGTAGGTGAGGGGGGAGGGGTGTGCTGGGGCCTTCGGGTGAGGCCGGCACGGGACACCCCGCAGGGCCCCTCACCCAGACACCCCCACACAGGCCACTCGGTGGCTGACCTGCAGGCTGCGGAGCAGGCGGTGCGCAGCGGGGCCTCCTTCATCACTCACCTCTTCAACGCCATGCTGCCTGTGAGTACCGCCCTGGGGCGGGACTCCCCCTCTTCCCCCCTCTCCCAGCTCACCCTACCCTCCCCCTGCCAGTTCCACCACCGGGACCCCGGCATTGTGGGGCTCCTGACCAGTGATCAGCTGCCCCCCGGCCGCTGCATCTTCTACGGGATGATTGCCGACGGCATCCACACGAACGCGGCCGCCCTGCGCATCGCCCACCGGGCGCACCCCCAGGGTGAGCAGCGTGCGTCCTTGCAGAGGGTGGGGCGGGACCGGACAGCCAGGTCCTGAGCGTGCCTCTCCTCCAGGGCTGGTGCTGGTCACCGACGCCGTCCCTGCCTTGGGCCTGGGCAATGGCCGCCACACACTGGGGCAGCAGGAGGTGGAGGTGGATGGGCTGATGGCCCACGTGGCAGGTGAGCGAGCGTTGTGCCCGCGAGGACAGCCCGAGGCCCTCTGCTGGGGTGCGGGAGACCTTCGTACCCCTTGCCTGCTGCTCCCCCACTCTGCAGCCCCCCCACTGAGTCTGGCCCCTTTGCTCTCAAGGTACCAAGACCCTGTGTGGCAGCATCGCCCCCATGGACGTGTGTGTCCGCTATTTCCTGCAGGCCACAGGTACGTGGCCAGCTCTGCCACCCGTGGAGTTCAGAGGGGAGGCTCCGTGGGGCCAGTAGCCGGCTGCTAGAGCTGGGTGATGGCAGCGAAGCCCTGGCCTCGGGAAGAGCGGCAGCCCTCAAGTTGTGCACGGGAGGGCCACGGCCCAGTGCTGTTGTGGCCACTCCAGGGGCAGGGCTGGGGCAGTAAGCAAGTGCAAGTTGCTTTTCCAAGGCTCCAGGGCAGCCATGCAGGGGCCTTCTGGGGGTGGCGAGGAGGGTGGCACCCTGGCGGGTCCCGGAGGCTGCGGCATCAGGTCTCAGAGCAGACGGGCTGGGGACACGGGGCCGCGGGAGGAGCCACCTGGGCATCAGGTGACAGGGGTGGCATGGTCGCCACCTCTAGATTGGGGGCAGAGTGCAGGCCACCAGGCTGGTGGTGGTAGGTTGGCCTAGGGATCACTTCTTGGCATTGGGGGGGGAGCAGGCTCCCCAGGGCCAGGAGGAGGCAGAGGGGATGGGAAGTATTTTGTCAGGGAAGAGCAGAGTCGTGTTCTTGGCGGGCAAGGCTGGGCCTTGCTAACCTGCTGCGGGAGCCCTGGGCCACCCCCTCGCCCCAGTCCTGAGCCCAGGAGCTCGTATGGTCACCTGCCCCACGTCCCTGAGCAGGCTGCAGCGTGGAGACAGCGCTGGAGGCCGCATCCCTGCACCCTGCCCAGCTGCTGGGCCTGGACAAGCACAAGGGGAGCCTGGAGTTCGGTGCTGATGCAGGTGAGGCCCCACGCAAGTGGGGGGGGGAGGGGGAGGGAGGGGCGTGCTGGCAGTTCCTCCCCAGGCTCCTGGCCAGCCTGCTGCCACCGCCTCTTGGGCCCCTTTCCCAACAGCCATGCTTTCTGTTGTCTGAGTGAGGGCCGTGGGTGGCAGGGAGCACTGTCCTGGGGTTCCAGCGGGAGGAGCCGCAGCTCTTGGTTCCAGCCCTCTGGAGGGCTGATGCGCCAGGCACCGGTGGTGGTCCTGGGCCTTGGATTCCATCGGGCACACATCGGGGCATGGCTTTGTGGGAACAGCCCCCCCTCACCGTCTCCCCTCCTCTGGCTCCATCGCAGACTTCGTGGTGCTCGACGAGGCCCTCTGTGTCCAGGCCACGTACATCTCAGGAGAGCTGGTGTGGCAGGCGGAAGACGCCAGGCCGTGACAGAGGGCCCTGGCTGGTGTGGCCCCAGTTGGATGCTGGCAGCTGGCAGGGTGGGTGCCGGGGAGCTGGTCTCCAGCCCTGCCCTGGTCTGCAGCCACCCCCGGGGGGCAGCGGCGCGGATAAACATGCAGCCAGCAGGACTTGCCTTGTCTGAGTCGTGTTTGCATCTGGTGCTGGGCTACTGGCTGCTTTCACGGCAGCCTGGGGCCTCCGGGGAGGTGTCGGGCCAGGGCCCTGGGGTTGAGGGGGCCCTGGGGTTGGGAGGGAGGGGCTGTCTACTGCTTTTGGAGCCACAGGAAGATGCCAGGCGGAAGAGGGAGAGCACACTGTTGGAGGACCGTGGGAAGGGGCCGGAGGACAACGGATGGTGTGCGACGTGTATTCGCTGTCCCTGGGCTGGGTGGGCCTCCCAGCCCTGGCACAGTAAGGACCCGGGGTTGTGGCCTCTCGCCCTGCCCCCTGACCCGCCGGCCCCCAGCGTCCAGCGGGCTGGCAAAGAAGATGCCACTCCCAGGGGACCTTCGCTGCGCGGCCGGCGGGGTGACGCGGGCTGGGGTGCTGCTCTGTGCCGGGGTCACTTGGGCCAGCACCAGATTCTTCTCCCCACTTAGCTGCACCCTGGCCTGGGACGGGGGGGTCACCCTGACTTCCTCATCTGGGGCTCGGGGCTCACGGGTGGTTTCAGGTGGACTGTCTGGGTGCGGGGTTACAGACAGACAGCCGGACGCGGCTATGTGCGGCCCCTTTGAACAAACGGTCCCGGGGTGCGCAGTGATTAAGAATTGGGCCTCAGCGCGGGTGGAGCCGGGGCGGCCTGGGGCGCCGGGCGTCTGCGGGGCTCTGGGCCCGCTGTCAGCCCAGGACAGCGGTGCCGGGTGCAGAGCTCCTGGGCGGCCCCCGGGCCTGCACCCCAGTGCTGCGTGCGCGTCCTCCTGTCCTGCAAGAACCCCGAAGCTGGGTCACCCCGGTCCCCATCCAGGGGCTGCCCCCCGCGCGCCTCGCTCAGCTCAGGGCGAGAGCCACAGCTCCACTTCTGGTTTGTCTGGCGGTTTATTGGAGTAATTAGTCTCAGGAACTTTCCTGCCGGGGCTGGCTTCGAGCCCGGATCCTCAGATCTCAGCCTCCTGAGTAGCTGGGATGACAGGCGGGAGCCACCAAGCCCGGCCCAAGTGCTGGAAGTGGCGCCCCTCTTCCCCAGCTTCCCCACCCCCACCCCGGCGCGGAGGGCGCAGGTCCGCGCGGGGCCTGGGCCTGGGCTGGGCGCGCGGCGATCCCCGGT